AATGGGTACTAAGTGGACCACTATCTGAAGAAAAAGAAAAATTTGATTTCGGACAGAAACGCTAAATTGAGGGCTCATTTGAGTCCATACTTCGGTTTTGAGGAGAAATTGAGAGATTGAGCTCGGAGATGAGAGAATAGGCGAGAAAGCACAACGCAGAGGAGGGCGCGGACACCCGCATGTTACGAGTGAGGAAAAATGAAGCGCTCAAAGGGATCTCAAAACGGCCGTGGGGCCTCTGTCGTGCACTTTCGTGCCGGTAGTACGAATTAGTGACAGATCTATCCTACCCACCAAAATGAATGATTCATCTGAACTTAGTGGGATGTGCCTTTAAGTTCAGCTCCAGTTGCTATTTCTATCAAGTATATTCTCATCTTTGCAACAAGCATTTTCATTTTCATTGTTTTCGAGCTTTTTTCCCTTAAAGACATCATTCTCATGTTATCAACTATCAACCCCTCACTAACTTCCCCCATCAACGCCCAACGGTGACAGGTTATTCATTTGTAAGACCCTACCATTCGAGAAGTTTTCACTCTGAAAGATTAAGTATGTATCTGCTACAAGAAGGAAGACAGATAAATGGAAGCGGATAGATACCATGGTGAGACGCTATCATGGCCCTATGGGTGCGCCATGATGTCACCTTCAATCTTAAATTGTAGGTTGCATACAAGTCGGGTCCTCCGAAGCCTTTTGAGCGTTTATTGACTCTCAACTCAGTGCCATTCTCCATTTAGGCACCTTCAGGTGTAACTCGCGGATTCCGAAACTATAGCAAAGCTTAGCTGCACTAAGACTGGGGCCAAGGAAAGGTTTACGAATAAGCAAAGACAAAGCGAAGCCCTAAACTGATCGGGGTCTTGCAGCATAGCAACAGCGTAGAGAAGGAAGCTTTGGCAAGCATCCAACGCAATGTTCTAAGAAGCTACAGTACAACTACCTCAAAAAAGAAAAATTCACGCACTATCTTAAATCATCACAAGAAACATCATTCCATCCTTAACGCTTTTTCGCAGAGGAACAGTTCCAGGCTAACTCAGTCAAAATCGCTGAAGATGATCTCGTTGATGTAAATCGCCTCAACGGTTTGTCTTCCTTTTGTCATGCCGTCTTTCATTGTAAGAATAGATGACCGCTTATCTTCGCGTCACTATTGTCAAATAGGTAGCGCCATAACTGAGAAAATACCTAGCACTGACAGATGGCCTCGGTAGATTTGACGAACCGGCCTTATCGCGTTCAGTTAGTCCCTGATGGAGTAAAACTGCTGGAACATCGACACTTACTTACTGTGAGCCTCTTTATGAGGTTAACGCCGTAAACAACGATGTCAAGTGCGGCAATGGAATGCAGCGGCGTATTTGAGATCGTTTTTCGCTGAATAGACTCTGCTGGCCTAGCGCTCTATAGCGGGTTTTTGCCACTGAAAACCATTTGGGGCACTCGTCGCATAGAATTTCTTATGGTTATTCAATGGTGAAGTTTTGTGGGGTGTTGGGAATAATGTGCGAAAAACTAAGAAATTGGACTCCTGAAAACTCTATGGACTGTTAGGGTCATTGAACTTAAAGGCAGTGGACACGATGATTAGGCGGTGCGGCTTGATGACGTCATCAAAACGTCATTGGCTTAGGATCGGTTACGAGGTGGTTCCAGCCACATCTTCAGAGCGATGGGGGGGGGAAGGTTTGTTCCACAATGACGATGAGTGGCGTCATCAAAATTGTTCCGCCCTTCAGACATCGTGACCACTGCCTTTAAAAAAGTGTTGTTGGACGAGTTATCACAAACCAAGCGCCGTTTCGAATCAAATAACCCCATTGAACCGGCTCTAGGCCTCTCCCCGATTGTGCCTAAATCCTTACCTATACTGCGCAAGAGACCAAATTCAACCTTATTATCCGGCTACTCAAGCGCCGAAAAAAATGAGGAGCGCCAGGGCTAGTTTTTTTTGCGAGTAAACGCGAATTTGTTTGATTCCGTGAACATGATGTGCTATAGGAATGCGCTGAACTGACGTGAAGGCCTGTTGTCGATTGAAGAAACGTCGGGCGAAATGATCCGATGATGTAGCGCGTAGAGGTGATGTGTGTGTGGGTGATGGTCGTGCTCTAAAATTATCTATTGCCCCTATGAATATGTTTGATGTTGTGAATCCAATGAAACCCGAAATCACACCCGAAATATTGCAAACGGTTAGCTGGGCAGAAGAAGAAGATGGTTGATTGTTACGTGAACTATAGAGCACAGTTAGTTGGCAACAAAGCGCGATGTCATGCGAAATGTGAAGCGGTGCGAAGTACACAACGCACTCGGTGTGATCTCTCATCACTTACTCCACCACTGTTGCGTCGTCGGTCGCCGTCACGCTCACGGTGGCAAAGTCCAGGTGATTTGTCATCACGTTCGAAGCAGCTACTACTTCCAAATTGACGCTGCTCGTGGTAGTCGTCATCGTCGTCGTCGTCGTCGGCGGCGGCGGCGTTGTGGTGGTGGTGGTGGTGGTGGTGGTGGTGGTGGTTGTGGTGGTGGTGGGCATCGTAGTGGTCGTCGTAGTGGTCGCCTCAGTCGTTGTAGTCGTGGGTGCTGCTGTTGAAGTGGTGGTGGTGGTGAGCACAGGGGTTGTCGGAAGGATAAGTTGAGGCGGTGAAGTCTGCACTCGGAACTCATCAAACCGAATTTGAGGTACTGGCTCCTGCAGTCGAGGTTGTTCAAGTCGTGTCTGGGGTGTTGACGTCTGCAGCCGCAGCTCTTCGATCTGTGAATGAAGTGCCACAGGTTGTGGTGGATGGATCGGAGGCTGCGGTGGAGTAATCGGCGGCTGCTGTGGAAGGATCGGAGGCTGCGGTGGAAGAATTGGCGGCTGTGGTGGAAGGGTTGGAGGTGGTGGTTGAGGAAGTGCAGGTTGTGGTCGAGACTCCTCAGCTTGCGATGAGTGAGGTGAAGCTTGTGGTTGTGGAGGTATTCGACTCCGCTCTGGTCCTCCGTTGATCACCTGAGGCGGATTAGGTGGAAATGGCCGGCGATTCTCCATCTCAAAGGGCTGTGTCGAGGTGACTACTGGCATTCCTACTTGAGAAGAATTGAGCTGTTGCCCTCGAGCATGCAGAAGAGGTCTCGTAGTCGTTCTATTGGCCGACTGACGCCTTGAACTGATGCCATGTAATAGCGTATCGTTGAGGCTAAACTTTTAGAGTTATCACTGCCAACACCTTCCCACAAGAAGAAGGAGGATTCATAGTCACTACCAACACCATAGAAATCCCATAGGAACATATTATAACATATAATATTAATCTAGAAGAAGAGGGAGCGCCTATACCGTAATCCCATCACCAAACCCGTTCAAAAGGGTCCTTCTATCACCGTACTGTTTAGCTAACAAGTATTCTGTCGTACCTTGGACTTGGCCTAGTTCTGAGCGGTCTAGTTGCTCTACTGAACGGGAGTATCCTTTGTGTTGTTCTCGGTGTTGTCCGCGGCAGAGTGGTTGAAGCGGGACGTTGAGGTCGACGATCCTGAGGTCGTGCTTGGACCGATGGACGATCCCTGGGTGTGGTTCGTGATGCAGGACGTCGTCCTACCGGCCGAGGATTACTCGGTCGAGGATTCGACGCCTGACTAGTTCCTGGTCGAGGCATTCGAGGCGGAGGTCTGGCCAACGATGAGGCGTCAGGTGGTCGGGCTGTACGGGCAGAACCTGGAAATAAAAACCAATTCAACTGACGATTACCGTCAACTTTTTCAGTTTTTTTTCCTGTTGAAAGTGAATAGTAAACTGGAGCGACGATCGTATTCAACACTTAACTCGCCGGCGAAATTGCAATTTGTCGCCCCATCTAACCTTAGCGGAATGTGTAGCGCTGCATTACTTTGGCCATGGCCGGCCGCCGTTGGACAAATGAAATGTGCGAAAAGATGTTTGACTGAGATAAGCCGAAAGGTTTCGTGTGACATGCGGTGAAACTATCGCCCCGTGGAAAGGTCAACATATCGAATACGGAAAACGTCGCCGCCATCTCATCAGTCAGTTACGTGGGTGAGCGCTTACCCGGTCTACACGATCCACAAACTAGCTGGCAGTTGTCGGCCATCCATTCACGATTCGACTGAAAACAGCAGTGTTTTATGGAAAACTATAACTCAAAACAAACAGAACGTTAAACTGAAGAACATTTCAAAGATTAGTGGACTCAAAAAAAGAGAAAAATAAACAAAATTGAAAATCAAATGGAAAAGAAAGCTTGAAAAAGTCGAAGAATTAATTTGGAAATCTCTTTTTCGGGACTTTTACTGAATTTTTTCGTCCTTTCAAGTATCTCTATTCAGAGAAACTGGAACAAAAGGAAGGCTTCATCAAATTCATCAATGTTCCCTTTTTCGACCACAAAAATTTTTTTGAGTTTTATTTTCCTTGAAAAAAGGCTAGAGCTATCGCAAGATATGGGGGCATTGTAGTGGCAATACATTTCGAACAACGCAGGAAATCTCCCCTCTTCGAAAACAATACTAAGCCTAAGGAGGGGAGGAGGAATTCAGGTTGCTTAAGAAACTTCCTTTCTTCGAATAGTACAAGATAGCAGTTTTGGGCGAACCGCTCAGGCTTCCCGAGAATATGTTGTATCTTGCGACTGTGCCGAAAGGCTTACTGTGGAATAAAGTGTTCTCAAAACTCACTCTGCACTCGCCAACTGAGGCCCAAAATCGACACCATTCGTGATGGTCACAACATCCCCGCTGGCAGTGGAAACGTACTGTCACCGGGTTGTCATCAGCGGCATCTAAAATTGTAAGATTTGCCGGGGTACAGAAACGTGCTGACCGAAGCCAGAAGCCTGTGATGGGAAAAGATTCGGATCGACTGTTATTAAAGGTCTACCGGTTCTAGGGAGGAAACTTTATAGGGAAACCCTTAAAGAAATGCTCAAACCGGAGACCTGGTTTTTTCCTCCTCACAAAGATTTGACTAAGGACGGCTCAGTTCGAAAGGTGTTTGTTTGCTAAAGGGTAGCAATACCTACCTGAATACCTAAAGAGGGTTGACCTAGAATGATAACACTTATGAAAGGCGCACCCTGCGGATCTCCTTCGGAGTGAGAAACCCAGCTATCTGCTGCCGGTATGATCTCAATGGGCTGAAAGTGCCCAGTGGGGATACTGAGTGATGCACTAAGGAGGGGGGCATCACTCCGCAAAGCTCATTCCAGAGCGAAACTTAACCCAATTGTGTTGTACTCGAAACCAGAAAAAGGTCAGCGTTATATTTACTTGAAGAAGTAATTATTCATCGTGGTTTGCTATTTTTGCCCAGCGAAGAGACCTGAGTTGATGTGTTCAAATAAGGGGGGGGGGGTATACAGTGTAAAGCTATTTCCATTCGCATTCATTCCAGCAAAGTAAGGTGGGTGGTTCATCAGTGGTTTTGATAGAGCAAGGAAGGGTCGAGCATACAGTTATTAGCTGAAGAGTGGAATGTATTCAGTCGTGGTTTAGAAAAAGCCTGAGGTTTTTGGCACGCTGGCCCTCCCTTAGGGAGGTCTTTCAGGAAATGGTGAGCTTTTTCAAAACGGGTTTTTTGCATGAATAGGAGTACATGCATGGAACACCAAACTGTAGTTCATTTTTCCTGAGCGACCCTCTGAACACCAGAAAAGGGGGTCCCTAGTTCGATTCCTCGTGGTGACAAATTTTTGCATTTCGAGTTGACGTTTCAAGAACTTCGGCGCAAGGTGGAGTTCCGCGCTTGAAGTATCTAGCTACATGTTCATGGTTAGTACGATTTGCGCGAATTTTGAAACGTCAACTCGAAATGCAAAATTTGTCACCACGAGGAATCGAACTAGGGACCCCCTTTTCTGGTGTTCAGAGGGTCGCTCAGGAAAAATGAACTACAGTTTGGTGTTCCATGCATGTACTCCTATATCATGCAAAAAACCGTTTTGAGAAAGCTCACCATTTCCTGAAAGACCTCCCTCTGGCTTAGTGCACCAACGTCGGGGTGAGTTTCAATTGGGCCATCTGTGGGATAGTTTTTTTGTGCAAGAAAGTAGAGTGAGGAAAGAAGAAAGGATATTTTCTTCTCAAAGGATCTACCTCAAAATCCATCCCACAAATGAGCAAACTGAATTTCAACCCGGCGGAAGGGAATGTGTATGTTTGAGATGAAAACATTCGGTCGTGTTTTTGAAGAGCGTGTGACTTCTCGGGGGCTGTGCATACCCTCTTTTCAAAACGAGAAGAGCGTCGGATGCAGAAACACACAACTGTGTGACGACGGCCTCTAAGTAGTTCTGGTTAGTAGTGGCTCATAGTGATAGCTGATTTTTGGTAAATGATAGTTGTAATTAGTGACAACTGATAGAATACAACTGCAACAGGCTAATCATTTCACTTGCTTTGTGGAAGGCCGTCGTCACTTGTGGTGTATGGTCTGCACCCGACGCTCTTCTCGTTTTTGAAAGGGAGGGTATGTCCCCTCTTAGTACACCAGCGCCGGGTTGCATTCCAATTTGGTCATCTGTGGGATGGTTTTTCACTTCCATTGGTCTGAGTCTTGTTCTTGTCCATGAATTCCTGACGACACACACTATATTGAGCTATGAATCTTCAAGTAGCGACTCATTCTCAGTTTTTTCCCTGTGAATCACAATGTGTAAACTGCCATTCACTTGGACCTGTCTGGACAGTATTAATCTCAGGTTCATAATCAATCCATCATTTTTTTCTCTGAAAAAAGGGGAAAACTCTACCCGCTCCAACCCTCATTGGTTTTGCAGTTCCGGGTTTTTGAAAGAAGTTCGCAGTCAATGGAACAGAGCAAAAATGGTCACAGTAACCAGTGAAATTGTTTGCACCCGCGGAGTCGCTGCTTTTGTGAATCATCACACAAAAACTTCCAGTAGTAGCCCAATTGAGTGGCTTCAGTGGCTTTACCGGCGCCCCGAAACTGAAATTTTTTTTGATTTTTTTTCAATTTTCCTCTCGTTTCCGGCGTAGGGTTTTTCCGATAACCATAGCTATTTGTTGAGCGGTGGTTTTTCGCAGCCATTCATGCCGTTGTCCTTCGCCGTTATCATTTGCATATCGTGAAAGTGATGCTTAATGCCAAGAGTGCGCGCACACAACGTTTTCACCTTTCAAGGTCATAGTTATGGGCTGACAGTTAGCGCCATTGAACCGGGACCTTTGGGAAATGACCTGTGATGGTCCTTCTGAACGTTCAAAAACCACCGGTGGACGGAAGGTCTACCAGCTTTCAGGTCCACATTAAGATCTCGATCCATATCGCTAGCAATTGTGGCCTATAGACAAGACACGGATTCGTTTCGTAAGCTAATTAGGCCATATACGCTGGCTGGTTGGTTGGTTGGTTGGTAGGTGGTGTTCCTACGAATAAACGAGTAATTCGAATCGCCACAGCAGCATGTAACCTCGAGACTTTGATTTCATCGAATCTGATCTTAATCGGCTGACGAATACAACCAAATCTTTTACTGTGATCTTAAGGACCTTCACAGGAAACACCAGGCGCAAAACTTTTCATTTCTTCGCTTTCTCTCTCGATAAAAAACGATGGGTGGAATTGTTCCCTTCATCGATAAAGCAAAACGATACATAAAAAATGAACAGACAAAATTGCCAGTCTGAGAACATTGCCCTTGTGGGGTTAATTAAGTCTGTTTAGGGGCATATTCAATCCTTTCCAAAGGGAGAAGGACGAAAATCCCCTAAAATTTTATTCGGTTTTTCAGCCGGGAACCACCAAGAGAAGGGTCTCTTTGTTTTGTTTGTGTGGAAATGTATTGGAATGAAGACAATTATTTCGTTGAACACCATAATAAGAGATTTTCATAGTCCCTATCGCAAGTACGGGGGATATGATAGGCAGCCTGATGTAAAACCCGTGAAGCATCTCCATTTATTGAGACGGACTAGCTTTTTAGTCGGTACAAGGATAACTCGGCCAAAGTGGGTGGACTGAATTACCCTCCTTTAGGCCTTCTGGCTTAGTGCTAGGATGCCTCTGTATCTTCGGCGCGACGGATAGCGCAACATTTTTATTACCCTACGGGTGAGGATATTATACGCTTCAGGCCTCTACCTCTAGTTCATCCTTTCAGAAAGCGTGGAGGAGGAGAAGGAAGTTATCTTGAAAAAGACCACGTGTTTTTATCGAACAGGAGACGATAGGGACTCAATAGAAAAAGCTGTTAAGTACCTGATGGTTGTGAGGATAGTACGAAGAGAAGCAAAGGCAAAACAGGAATTATGTACATCCTGAAAAAAAGGTTATCTGAGAAATTTTTCCGCAAGGTTTTACAAAATAATCAGTGAGATCGCGTTGCAAGAAATGGACACACAAGACGACCCACGAAAGAATTCGGAGATGTAAAGATCTGTTAAGTGAGATTGGAACTGTCACACACGACCAGTAGTAGGAAATGAAGGCGGAGGCGGAGCGCTTGGCGTTAAACTTTAGGACCGATCGTTTTGACACTGTAGCCGGGGCAGCAACAGTAGCAACAGCATCAGGACAACCGGCTAAAAAGTCGACGGCGCTTTTGGATTGAAACGATCAGATTAGTTGCGCAGGGTTGACGGAAATCGAATGGGGCGCGGGACAACAAACGACTAAAAACTTGAAATGATCGCCCGCATAATGAAAGTCGCTACCCTTGGGAAAGGAGTTTTTTGTACGAATTGTGGTTTCGCATCAAAAAGGGGGTAAACTGTAACTTCACGATGAAGCACGTTAAGCCCGGCAGGAAAAAAAGCCTTTTGTCTAAGAAGTTAATCATCTAAGGACTATGATCAACCTAGTCCTATAAACAAAAGGATTTCACAGTAGACGGTAAGGGTCTAAGAGTAAAAGGGGGGGTGGTAGGGGGTGGGGAATGGCATGTGGTACGACGGTTTGATAAGCAAACGGCAATTCTACATTTCTTCAGGACGGAGGGAATCGGGGTTTGCGTGAACTATCGCTTCCAATTCTACACACACCCCGCAAATCCTCATTCTCAAAAATTGGGGATAACCTATAGGGGGCACGATCAGGTCATCCTATCGTTGTACTTTTCAAAATTTTACGACCCCCGTCCCAAAGGTGAGCTTGGTCGACCCCCTTATATATATACCTCTATAGTATTTTATTCCGGCACCCACTAACCCACGAAACTCCGCCACTTTTCTCCAAAATTCCGTCGTGCGGGGGCGGGATAACGCTCGACTAAACTAGCAAATTTCTCTCTCTCTGCCACTCCCACTCACCAACCTCACTACTCTGGAAACTCCACCTTCACCCCCGCAAACTCCATGTGACTGAAGCGGATACGACCCCCTACGACCCCCTCCCCTATAAACTGAACCAGGTACGACCCCCGTTGTTACTAGTAACAACATAGGGTTGACCCTGGTCACGATTAGAACACGACTCAGCATAAGTCTGAGTTTTAGAAGGAGCACCGCGAGGATCGTCCGTTGAAGAGCGGACTCCACGGTTTCAAGGAGGTCACGGAAGTCGTGGGCCATGGTACCCTCCTTTTGGAGTGGACCCAGAGTTATTTCAGGGTAACATAGGTATTTCAGGGCTTATGCTGGGGCACTCAGACTCAGTCTAATCAGAGATTACTGGAAGTGCATGAAATTGAATATAATACATTTTATTATCCTCAGGAACCTAAAATCACTCTGAATAGGCCAAAAATGGCGCCTCTTGAGAAGAAATGCATCTTAGCATCCTTAAGGACCGAAAGATCGGCCTAATTAGACCAGAAGTGGCATCTAATGTGCGCCAGAAGCTTCGTTGGAGGGCCAGGAGGAGTACTAAGCACTTGAAAACAACTTAGGTGATGATTTATCAGTTTCTCTACGATAGCGTCCTTAAATATACGGTTGTTTGTGAATGTTGATACAATCTCGAGAACAGGTTCCACTCAAAAAGTAATAATACTTGACTGTATCGGAATTTACTATAAATCAAGTCGGTGAGGCACCAACCTCAAAAAAGCGAGAATTTTAGTGAGACTGCTTACTTCTGAATAAAAAGACAGCGATGAAAGTAAGGAGGAGCTCATAGGCAACTTGCCTGAGACAGTTGGGAACCATCTGGGAAAAGATCTACAGCAAAACAGAATAGTACGGTAAGAAAGCATCTGTAGAGACGCCCAAATCAAACCCACTAAACTATCGATCTGAAGGTGTCGATGAGTAGCTCTCGAGTGGAATGAGTGAAAAGGGGGCTAAGGTGGCGCGGCGTCGTCGCAAGCGTCACCACCACGTTCCTCCTCCGAACAGTAGTTCACTCTGGCGCCGCGTGGTGGTGAAGACCCTTAGAATCTCGTTCACAAATGTTTCGCACCGCGTTAAGACGGCAAGAACAACTCGTTCAATGGCAAATAGCTTCTGAGATGTTGGGGAATCAATTCTTAGCCGAAGTTCTTCATCAATCAAGAAAACGTCGAAACAACGGGACTAGTTCCAAGAAAATCCCCTGAGGTTCTCTGGAGGGGATTTAGTTCTGAAACCGTGACAAAAGTGCTCCAAAGCAGAAGCCGAAGAGAAAAAGCGGTGGTTGAAAGGGTTGAGAAAGATTTGCTGAGCTTTTTTGAAGAGCTATTCGAAATGGCAGGTCGTTCAGGTAGTGAGGGCTTGAACGGATGGAATGCGATTAACGGAAATTGACGACGACGAGGAAAACGAGAGTGAACGCACTTTCAAGGAGGCAGACCGGCTCGACCCACAGACCGCATGAGCGCTCACCTCAAGCGGCGAAAACGGTGCCAACCGCCATTGCGCGCAATCATAGGAAACACAAGCCGAATCAAGGACGAGGACGTCACTCCCGTTACCCACAAAACGCACAAGACAATGTGAATCATATGTAAGACATTCCACACGCGAAACAGAAATCCGCCGCCCAACGAAAGGCGACGACGATGGAGCGGGGCGAGGAGGGGGGGGGGGCGTTGAACAAGCGCGAAGACATTCGGCGCCGACTATGCTGATGTAATGTCCGTCTTTCAACCTATTCTACAACTGCAAATCGTCTCGGAGAAAACTTTAATTGGCTACAAGTATAACACGCGGGGGGAAAACGTGTCAATTGGTTCGTTCTTTTTAGCCCCTCGTAACTTCATATGTTCCTCTTGTAAATGGGTAAGAGTAAGTTGCCTATTCTTCCCTTTCCTGACCTCTGTAAACACCGAAAATGTGCGGGTTCGACAGGTAGGTACGGGTATATCTACAAAGGCCAAGAAAGGGAAGAATTGGCAAATACTCTTACTATTTAGAGATACTCAGGTATGTAGCGATTTCCTAGACTTTACGCTATCACTAAAAACTCTACTTGTCTGTGAAGATGGAGGAGCCAAAATAAATGATACTGGAACAACAAAGCGCTAAAGCAACATATGGGGGCATCCTCTAGGACTACGCCTAAGAGGGGTAGAAACTTCAGAGAAAATGAAGGCTGCTCATGAACCCTGGAGTGTCTGATCCCCCACCCAAGGCGTAGTCCGGATTTCAGCAAGAAGGATACGTTTAAGAGGTTGAATGGTTCACGAGTTCCGCCAACCCCTCCCCCGTATCCTTTTGGCGAGTAGCCAGAACTGCGATTTATCTGAATAAGTTAGCCACAGTCAACCTTTAGAAAATATAATGATACCATATAGGGTAGTAGGACCCAGAAATTTGTCGTTCTGTCATAATACCCTTTCAGTTAGCTCAGCGACATTAAATGAAAGCCACATTCCAGGGCCCGCGTTATGGTAAGAGGTAACAACTGTAAAATTACAGCCTGGACAGGTATTAGGCGCTCGTGTAGTTAAGGGGGAGGGGGCGGTCGTACTTATTCATGCCTACTACAGTAATCGCAGTTTTTGGATGGGAACGAAGGCCCAAGGGAGCGAGCCCATTCGACGGCGCAAAAGG